GCAATCAGACAGTGGCAAGTGATAGATAGGAATGGGAACAAGTCCTGTATGGATTTGTATTCACTCGATTCACTTTTATTGCATCACCGTAAACAGAATTCATTGTATTCGAATTCTTATTTAAGAATGCAGCCATCTGCGGATTCTTCAAGCTGTTTCAGAAGCAATGACGATCTGTTATCGCTCCGCATTCTTGAGGTTTAAACTATTTAAATCTCACTCATTTCTAAGTAGGGCCAAACTCAGTCGTTTTAGCCACGGAACTGCATTTTCCATAGGCTAGAGCCGATTCTTGGAACAAACTCAACCCAAATTGTCTAGAAATACATAAAATCGGATTTGGGTAAGGGTAGAATGTGGCGACACTCATGACGGTGTTTGACAACATCCAATTCCAAGTCAACGAGCGAAAATATGCTCAGGTGAACTGAGCAACTAAGCCCCCAAACCCTGTAGCTCAACTAGACTTCGAATACGTCGAATTTCGACACGCCCTGATGGTAAGGGAAACAACAGCAAAAGCACTGACGGTGCGCTGGAACTTGCATAAGCTTATGAGCAGTCTCACCCAAAACTTCGATTAAATGACACAACTAGACACAGAGGCCAAGATTGTTAGGAGACTAATCTAACGGAACCATGGGTGTCAAAAAAGTGTAAGAAACAGGCCACCCGAAGCATGACTCATGTAGGATACCTTGTAGTCACAGCGGGGTATGGTGGCAATGCAACAGTTATTATTCGCTGCTTCAAGGAGGCAATATGAAGTGTGCATATGGGGTGTGAAGAAGGCGTAGATTAGACAGAAACCAGCCACAATGTGCAGATGGACGGAAAAACGTTATACAAATTCTGATGGGGAATACAGTAATGATGCATATGTAAAGATATCAAGTCACATGCATACACGCAAGCTGAATACAAATGTACAAATGTGCAACATAAGTACGGCAGCTTAGCTACACGAAAATGTCACATTAACAAATACAGACAAATGCAAATGAGAAATAGCGCTCTTCGATATCAAGGCACTAGACCGCAGCGGCGGGATCTGATGGGGCAGCCGACGAGTCCGGGGCAGGCGTTCCGGCAGACTGCTCGGTGGAGAGCCTCGAAGCTTCCGCGGATTCACAAACGGAGTCAGTTTCTGTGGCTGTTGCTGCAGCCACAGACTGATGGAGAGAGGAGTCAACGGATGTAACTGTAGTCTGCGTGGCTTGTGGGGTTGTAGAAGAGGCAGGTACTGCAGCGACTTGAAACGGTTCAGCACGAGGCTCTGGAGTGTGCCAAGTCAAGCGTTCTTCGTAGAATCGAATAACTGTCTGTGGACATTTAAGATTAGCTTCTCGTGCCGGAACCAGATCGGCCTCATTACAAGATTTCCTACAGTAAAAGAAGCGTTAATCAGGTCAACTAGCATTGGCGTCAACAGAAAATGAAAGTCAAGGGATATGTCTAGGCAAACACTATGTCAAGATAGTACCAACTCACCATTTAATGAGGAACATCAACTCTCCACTGGAATCTGTTGCCCCGATAATGCGATCGGGTTCTAGGCCTCGAGCGAATCCACGTAAGGACCTTGACGGCACCTACAAAACCATGGGACTTAACTAAGTATCCGTCAGCAACATGGGTACCAAAACAAGCCAGTCAAATAAAATCACTCGTAATGAAGGCGCCGATCATCCTCAACTGCAAAATAACTCACTTTGCTGACACTAATTGTAGTTTCGTCAGCTGGTTTTTTCGCCTCCGGGGCCGAATCATCATGGTCATTAAGAGAAGACCGACCCCGCTTTCTAGGTAATTCCGAGACGCCTAAAGACTTAGAGCGCATGATTGATTTGTTTGAACCATAAGATGATCGGGCAGGGCTCGTAGTTGCAGAACGCTCCTTCGCCATACGCTCCTCAAAATCCTAAAAAGCAAAAAAATATTGAATAAAGACAAGAGCCAAATAACGATGTAGACGATCCGGTTTCGGACTAACTTGCAGAAATAACCGAGTTACTCTCATCTCAGAATATGAAATGTCAAATTGGGAATATTCCTACTGGTCTTACTTTAATTAAGTCCGGACAATCAAGATTTTCTTCGGGCTCCCATGTGTTCTCTTCTTCAGAGTAACCCTTCCACTTAAGGAAATATTCCTTTTTCCCCCCACGAATGCGAACTTTCACAATCCTCTCTACCTGGTACTCATCCTCACCAATTTCACTATCATCCGACTCACGCAACCCCGATTCAGTCATTCTTTGAAATTGCCAAAATGCACAAGCGCTCACTAGTAACTCTTTAAAGTCATTGGTTGGTAAATATTTTATCAGATAAAGCAAGAATACTTACAGATTCCAAAATATAATGCAAAAAACCAATAACACTTGCATTACCAATGACCATTTCAACATACCTCGATAGTTCGTCAAGATGAAAGTAAGTGACGAATTGGCTAACCACTAATGACTCACTAACAGGATGCCAAGATTTATGTGCGTTTTTGCACCTAGAGGTAGCAATTCACACTTGAGTCAACTGTTGGTAGTACCTAAACAAAGCTATGCAAATATAAAATTAAAAGAATTAAAAATTATTTTGTATTTATGACTCAAATGACTTTCAAGGAATTTGCTGGAATGCCACTCCAGCTTCCAATATGGACTGAAAGTGCTGTCATTAGGTATTATTTAGTCTCTAAAGGGTAAAATCAGAGTTTTTGGTGGTCAGTGGTTCTACAGAAAATGTAACACATTTGTAGTTTAGATATCAATTTCGGTGATTTGATTTGATTTCCCAAACCCGCTTATTTCCTCACATAAAAAAACAAACATCGCGGACACAGAAGACTAAATAAACCAAAGTACAAGAAAAGTAATAATTATCAGTACTTAATCGAAAGATTCTATGCTATATATGTATAAGTAGGTGTGTTTTGCTCTATAATCTGTATGAAAATAAACAGAACAGGCCATCCTAAAATCCCATTCAGGTAGAACCCACATTATTTCAGGGTATTAACGTTCCCATTTATAATGGATTGCAAGTAACTTGCGAATTAATACCCAAAAATGAGTGTAGGGCAAGTCGATGCCCATTAACTGTTTCAGGACCTCCGTTTTATAATTTTTTTATGAAGTGCTGTATTCAAGTTTTGTTATATAGGTCTTTAATGAGTACCCTTCCCAAAATATGACATCGACAACTAGAAGAAATCTATATTTAAGAGTTACGACCCATACTGTTGTCCAAAACGATGCTTCAATTGACACAGCGATGATTCTCATTAACCGGTTAAACAATGTGAGTGAGGGCAATTTGAGTTGGCTCTCCAGGTTCATTCATTTGCGTTACCTAATTCGTATACCTTTGAGCTGGGTAAGTTCATTTTAAAACCTTTAATGTTTTGCTTGCTTCCATTATCTTTGTAACTAGGCCCTCTATAATGTCTTTGTTCCTTTTTCACTTTCATTATTTTTAGGAAGCCTTAATCATGACTCTGAGCCCTCCAGAGTCTCCTAAAATAAATTCTGTTGAAGCAAACGGTCGTCTCCTTAGGGCTGTTCCTAGCCGCCTTTCTCATCGTGTTTTACGATCGCCCAAGAAAGTACACCAAGCGACTTCTGTCCAGCGACCTCGCCGGTCATCCACTAAACCAGTGTCTTCGGCCCAGGCCAACCCCCAAAACGTCGTGCAATCTATTCAATCCAATCATCTTGAAATTGTCGGGCGCGATAAGGAAATCGCTTCTCTACGCGAGTCATTGCTGTCGTGGATTTCGAAAAAAGTTAATGGGTGTGTTTACGTAAGCGGTTCTCCAGGAACCGGAAAGACTGTCACCGTCACCCAGGAAGTACAATTTGTTGCCAACACAAAAGGTTGTCGCCCTTTGTTTTTAAATTGCATGCAAATGGCCTCTTCTCGGTCCGTTTACACATGTATCCTCGAAAAATTGGGCGAAAAGTCCCCAGCTGCGATCGCTTCCGCTCCGGAGAAAGTTGTCGCACATCTTGAGACCTGTCTCATAAAGAAGTCAAGATGCCTCCCCCTCATAATGGTACTTGATGAAATTGATCAGCTGGCGTCGCGTTTTCAGGAAGTTCTGTATACGTAAGCTATTGATGCAAAGCAGTCCTGTTTCCGTCAACTAAAAATGGATTCTGTACTCTTCGTCATATCGAGCTCTTGTAACTCTAATGGGAAATGTTTCAATAGAGTCACTTTTTGCTATCTATATGTCGAATTAGCCACCAAAATGATTCATCTAATCACCGAAATTGCTCAGGATCTTTAGGTCTCGGCCAGCTGTTAACCTTAAGTATAATACCTTACTTGTTGCACTTCCATTTGGGACTTATAACTAATCGTTTTTTTTGGCTGATTGACTTTGTGTGCGTTGACATTGATCTCAACAATTGGGAGTAAGTAACGGAGACGCCAGTGTGATTGCACGTGTTCTCTCTAATCTCAGTCTAACTGCAAATGTGCACATCTTAATCCATGCCATTCTCTTGCTCTCGACAGGATATTTTGGTGGCCGGAAAAACTGAGCAACGCCCACCTAATTTTAATCGGCATTGCGAATGCCCTCGACTTGACCGAGCGTTTGCTGCCTTGTCTACGGTTGCCCTCGCATCGTTTCGTTCACATCGTCTTTCCACCTTATTCAACAGACCAGATTGTCAAAATAATCTCTTCCCGTCTTCTCACCGCTTCTACCACCGACACTAAGCAGTCTCTTGATAACCCGGCCGTGCAGTTTTGCGCTAAGAAGGTGTGCTCCAGGAATTAATTCTAAATTGGTATTTCTTCCGGCCATTGACTATCCTTTAATATCGAACCGGTTATTTTACAGGTTGCATGCGCATGTACAAATCGTTAGTAATTAGCTACTCATTTACTTCATCCTAGTTCGGTTCATCATTTGTAACGTAGATCTTTAGAAAATTGTACGCTCTAGATGAGAGATATTGACCGTCCTTGTTTATTTGTAGGTTGCAGCTTGTTCGGGGGACGTGCGGACAGCACTAGCAGTCTGTCAACGAGCCCTGGAATTGGCCCGTCTCGAAGCCAGGTCAAAGGGAGGTGATGACATTAAGGCTTCCGAAAAGACGCCAACCCTTACCACCGGCCTTACTCCACTTCAGCAGCGTATCATGTCTAGTCCGTCCGTTCGAAATTCGTTAAAGAAGAGCAATCTTGCTCCTGCATTCGTGGAAGAGCCAGTTGAACGGTTTGTCATGCCAACAATTCGCCACATTAGTCAAGCCATCCGCGAGGCTCGGGTAATGCTCAGATTTGTGTGTTCTATTTTGGAGTTTATTCCAATTTAAGCTAAAGAACTTCGGATAAGTAAATTGGCAGATTATGTTTATACTGTTTTCGTTAGCACAAAAACGCTAAAGTCCTTTAGCAAGCTGACTCAGGACCTCCTAAACACCTAGCTTTGTTATTTATCATTCTTGCTATGCGATACTATCACTCAACTTTTTTAGAATGGCGGATGTATTCAAGCGACATCTTCCGCTAATCATTCCGGTGTTGGTGGCGGTGGCACGCACTGCTCCGGTGATATGCCTCTCCATCACAAGCTAGTACTCGCCTCTTTACTTCTGCTTCGACGTCTTCGTGGCCTCCGGGAGGCCTCCGTGGGCCAAGTCTTTGATGTGTATTCGCACGTCTGTTCACAGCGTGGCCAGCTTGCTCCCTTGGATATGTCTGAGTTCCTTAGCGTTTGTGAACTGTTAGATTCCCACGGTCTTTTGCGACTCTCAACATCAGTTGGTCAGCGCTCTTCTACTTTTTCGACTCCCACTCAGACGAAGCGAGTTGCTCTTTTACTGGATGACAAATCAGTGGAGCGGAATCTTAACGATAACCTCCTAATGTCGTCTATCCTTTCAATCGGTTCGCTGCCTTAGCGTGATAACATTTGGTCTCGTTCAAACCAAACGACTATTTACAACCTGCCCTTAAATTATTGATCTTTATTGGTGGTGGTGTACCTGAAAAAAAATTACATTTTTGCCTCTGAATGTGTTGTAAATAAACTTACTGTTCGCTATTTTTTTTACTGTATACTACTACTACTACTTAAGAGCGGGGAAAATAGTTTCATAAATGTCTATGTTTTAACGAGGCTTTTATGCCCTATAAATAGATGCTTACCACCCAAGCTGCTCCACTGGCGATACTTTGCTTGTGATCTGTGCCTAGCTCAGACTTTGATTGTTTGGTCAGGTCGAATTGGGTACAAATTGCCCGTCCGATTTATGGGTCCGTGCTCGGTGCAGACGCTCGTATCGAGCTTAAAGAACCAACATTGCTCAGGACTGGTTTGGAATATTGGCATCATATTTAGGGAATCGCTTCTGAAGAGACGGTGTTTGTGCTGTCAACCGAGTATGTGGGTTCGCCTTGTGGACTTTGGCTTTTAAGACCAACTGGTCAAGTGTCACTCGATAGTTTATCAGACTTGACCAAATTGCGAACCTCGGATTCGGACTTGGGTTTATACAATGAACTTACACAATTTCAAGCCACGATGACTTGGGCTTTATTATGTCAAGTTCAAATCGGTAGTTTATGCAATTGTGTGTGCTCTGTTGCGAATCGCGTTAATTCACACTTGTTAATCCGGTCACTCAAGCCTTCGACATGGCGTTCCCCTTTTCGCAGCATGTCGCCAGCCGCGCGGATCCTCAACTTTCCCCCATCCGCACGAACATTTATCCTGGATTATCCTCATACCTAAGTATCGATGTTTGCTCATCTACGGCTCACACATCCAACCTATAAATACACACTCGCAAACGCCATACACGACACCAACTTGGTTGAGCTCTGATGCAAATGGTTGTATCCACGTTCTCTCCGGTCTTTTCCTTCATCGCGAGTAGCAGGGAAGCGTCATCGGGCCAGAGTTAACTCAGTGACCTCGGCGTGGTTCAAGGCCACAACAGTTCTATATCAACCGCCAATTCAGCTGCTGGTATTTACCTAGTCCTGATTTTCCGAAAGAACTATTTAGAATTTCGCTTTGTAGCTTGTATCTCAGTAAAACTTTGTCTTAGTTCGACAACCTAAAACAGTTTACGCAGTATGGACTGTTATCTACCCCTGGAGTCGTATAAAAGAATGACTAAGTTGATTCCCTAACCACAAAAAATCGGACCCCAACTAGCAAAAACACAAAATAAGCGTGAATTAGTATAATGGGGAAATTAACTTGCATTTTCAAGAAAGAGATTCCTATCCACTTTCAATAATCTACGTGCCTGTACTAATAGTTCTGCTGGTTCTTTCTGCGCCTAGTAGGTGAATTTGTAATAAAAGTGAATCGAGTGAATACAAATCCATACAGGACTTGTTCCCATTCCTATCTATCACTTGCCACTGTCTGATTGCAGCAGGAGAAAATGAATTTTCAAATCGTAATCCACTCCATCAGATTTCTTCTACCTAAAACAAAGTAGCGACAGGATGCCAGCGCAACTTTGCGAACGAAGTCTGTACGGGGACGAACAAGCCCGAATCCTGACCAATGCGGTTAGGCACGGAATCCGGACCTGATCTGCCCACCAAGTTCTCTTGGTGATAGCTAAACAAGGCGAATCGATTTGTCTATGTTGAATTTAATGTAAATAGACAATTAGCAAAGCAGAAATACAAGTTTATCAACCCTGCGTGACCTAAATTCTCCTCGGCAATGATTTGAACCATCAACGTTGATGCGATGAACAGCAAATTCCGTGGGTGATTTGAGAGCCGTTTATCCAAAACTCGCCAGATTCATCTCTTTCAACACAAGCGCTGGCCGTGGCTGCCGTCTGCAGTCATAGGTGATGGGGACCTGTATCGAAGCTCTCGTTAAACTCGTCAAGTGCTTCGGCTCTGGAAACCTGAACAGCAGGCCTGGCCTCAAATTCCAAATATATACAACAACTTGTATCATTATTAGAAAGGCTTCAAATGAAGTGGCGGCGGAGAGATTTGAGTCAACATTTCAGACCATCTCATGCACCAATTCGTGAGGCGTACTAAGGGCACAAATCAATCACTAGGCGAAAAATCCACCAGTTCCTGTGAGTCAAGTCTCAACACTGGAGAGCCGTCGTCTTGAGGAGTCATGAACCACTCCAAAGATAGCCACCGAACGCTTGCAACTTCAGCCAATTGTCAATTTCCTCCTGGTCTTCTGACTTTTGCCCAACGAGTCCCCGTTACTGTTTATTATAGCGATCTTTTCTGTGGTGGGTCGACTGATAGCCCAACAACTGCCATCTGGGAATTTCAAATCCGGGTATTTGGTAATGTTTTGTTATGACGCCTTTTCGGATGTACATAAAAAGAAGCTGCCTCGAATCGCGTTGATTCACACTTGTTAATTCGGTCTCTCCATTCGCCGATCCCATTTCCCACTTTACGCAGCTGCTGTCATCCGAGCGGAACCTCAACTCACACCCCGCTGGTGCTAAAATGATAACATTCACCTTGCGTTGCCACCGCAAGAATGAGGTGACCTTACGAATTGGGACTTCCATGCGGCTGATATGGCGTGTGATTCCTCGATGTTGTGGTGACTCGTGTTGATGCAAGTCAATGACCTGGTCGTTGCAGCCTCACACACGCGTCCCCCTTGTCACGGCGCGGGACCATCTACTCATTCATCCCCGTGCATGAATCACGCATGCCCGCTGTATGCATCTGACCGTTCAGACGTTTGTACTTTAACAACTTCATGCACTCACAACAGCGCTTGCACCCACGCGAGCATGAGTCAACGCAATGGCCCCGGCGTGGTTTAAGCCGACACAGCGGGGCCCTCAACAATGCGCTCTGCCCATGCCCAGGCTACTTTGCTTTCACCGGCTGCGTGAACCCAGTGCTGTCGGATTTCTGGCAGTGCAGCATAGGTGCATAGTTATGTTTGTGTGGAAATAACCGATTAAACTGTCTCTGAATATCGGCAAGGAGTGGGAGTAAACTGGGAGTTGGTACTTGTCCGCGTAGGGTGCAGGCAACTGCATATTTCCTAGGGCTCTTAGGAAGCATAGACCCTGGTTATAGAGACCTTTGCGAGCTGGATCCATAAAACTTCATGGTCAACAGTTGCCTCAATGGCTGGCAACTTCTTCAAATTGACTAGCGGTAGTTTTGTGCTCGATGCCATCTACATGACAGTCCCCTGTGGGTAGGTGCACAATCCACATGATGGCAAATCGCAAAGTGTGGCGACGAAGTGTGGTGGCATCAGGCGTTTTGTGTTATTTCAGTGGTTGATATTTGTACCAGTTTTTACACAATATTTGGAAACTTTTTGGCATGACATGGAGAATTTTTACAAGCGAACAACTTAGACATAAGCTTGGATGGATTATCAGCACAACGCGGATCAATCTAGGTCGAAATTATTAACACGGACAGTTCTTTTATTAATTACTGACAGTTATAGTACTTTGTGACCACCTCCATACTGAGAGCTTCGTGAGCACCGTCGATGGTTTCGTTGTTGCATGAAAGGCCGGTAAAATCATTGCTGAGCACTTGAATTGGGGTAAATAAGTCGTGGCAATGTAACCGGTAGTGGAATCTTACAGTAGCATAGACAGAATTGGCTCGAGGTGCATTGAACTATTACAATACTTCCCACGAAATCAACTTCTAGCATCGAAGTTAAGTTTGAAAAGCCAATCGGGAATGTGCGTGGTGGTAAATGTCGTTGGGTGATGCGTGACCGCGCACAAGTATCTCGGTTACCTGCTGAATTGGTCTCTAAATGAAGTTCCCCAGTCACGTTAGAGAATTCCAGAAAATGGGGAGAATAAATGACGAGTCTTAATTCACTGCTTACATTACCAAATGGATGGAGTGGTGACAGTGCTGAGTGGCCTGCTAGGTAACTCGGTTTGCGTCGCTTTTACTGACCTGCTGCTTCCTGAACGTGGTGCACGGTTGCCTTTTGCAATCCGCATCGGGATTCATGCGGACCGAGTTTGCCCCAAACTTCAAACCTCCCTAGTTTGGCTCGAATTCACACATCCTAGGCATGAAATACAAGGTGTGGTAGTTCGGCTCAGTCGAGTCAGTAATTCGGTTGATGGAATCAACTTTCAGAGCCAAGGCAAAATGAGCTCGAACTCTTCCTGGGCATGTGTCGACTGCCATTTACCACGTTATTCCCGTCTACCCCCTGTTGTACCAATCAGTTTCGCGTTGTAGCACTACCTGAAATTTGTTCACGCGCTGTGTGATGCTTTAGGAGCGCTCACATCAGTGGGTTTGTATTCCAAACTCACGAGATGTCCTAAGTGTACACGCATATGTTTTAACAACGCTCCCACCCGACTGTAATGTTTTGGGTTTCGTGTAATCCACATGGAGAAACGAAGGATTTTATAATTTAAAAAAAAACTATGAAGTTAGCCTTGCAAAGGGAATATTGCAGAATCGGTTTGGACAACAGTACACTGTAGCACGGGTTCTTGCTGACGGACTGACAAGCGATCCAAGATATAGAGGACAAAAGCATGGCCTTGATCGGGTTGAGTCCACAGATGCAAGCTTGCGTAGCCAGGTATGACGGAAATGAACGAGAAAGCTTTATCGGCGTTGTTTGAAGGTCAGTCATGTCGTAGGATTTGTTGCTCCCGAGGCTCTCACCATTCTCCACTACTTGCATTTAACGGTGACTGCAACGCGGAATCAGACCTCTCGAATAAGCATGTGGTTAAATACCTCTGATGTTGAAGAACTAACGAACTAGAAAGGGTATCGGAATTCTCCCACCATCAAAACGCGACCATCGATGTGCCTAAAGCAACAAATGAAGAAGTGGAAACGCTGCCCGCGGATGACGACGATATCGGATCTAGAGATGTGAAGAATTGGTTAAAGAGTCAGCGTCTAAGGAAATCAGACA